TGAGGTCTTTAAAGACATGCCAAAAGCATTTCACTATCATGGACTCTATTGTCACAGAGAATGAGAATCAGAGAGGGACTATTCATGAGGGAAGAAACAACTATCCTCTTGTGCCAGGAATCCACCACCAGGGACCCAGGTTCTACTGATACTGATTATAATGGAAACAGACAGTTGGATTTGTCATGGCCATGGAGATGGCACAATGATGTTTCTGCATGCCAGGCATGAAGGTAACAGATATCATACTTCATCTAGATAGGTTGGCAGAGAAAGCTAGGGAGGCATCAGCAGTCATTCCACATGTCAACATCACTGACAGGAACAAATAAAATGTGGTTCTAGAACCAAAATTTAGGATGATATGTAGAAAACTGAAATCCAGGGCCTCTGCTGTAGCTTCCTCAGGTATGCTACCTGTTTCATGCATAGGACCAGTTAGAAAGGTAGAGCTGAGAGGTCAATGAGCAAACAAAATTGTGGCTTTTTATTTTATTTTTATTGCTTCTTTGAATTCTGTGGAATTCAAACTGCAATAAAAGAAAAGAAATAAAAGAAGCAATGAAAATGCAATTAAAAATCAATACTGTACAGATATTTAATGCAATAGATGCACCACTTGTGGTCTTCAGCCATAAATCCAAAGACATGCCATGGACCACCTGAATGGGAGCCCCTGATGTACATGAAAAGGTCACATTACAGGAGTTCATTTAGCTGCTCCAACATAAACTTTGATTAAAGAATAAAATAGTGGTTTCAGATTTATGCCACTCACAATCTTTTACTGAAGGCTTTTCTAGTACACACTATATATCCAAGTAGTCCTTTCTTTAAAACAAAACAAAAAAAGGTTGAACGTGTGCTATTTGAAGATAAAAGCATGAGATCAGTAAACATTCCAGAACAATTCTAAAGTTAAATGGAATGAAATTAGAAACCCAGTGTAATACTGTACATATAGGTGGTGTCCAATGTTGTCTGTCTGCAAATGGAAGTTATTTGTCAGCAGAAAAAGCCAGAGTGGCAATTCTCAGCAGTTTCCCCTCCACTCTGCAGCCTCCTATGCCCCCTCTAAATTTGCTCCGGAGGATCCTCAAACATTCTAGTTTGCACCAGGGTGCAACGGGCTGCAAGACTGAATACTACTCTGTGAAAATGTGATCACTTTAAGATATGTTAAGCAGTGGCAGACCTTGGGACCTCAAATTTGAGCAATGCCCTGTGAAAATCCAAAATCCCCCCCCCACCTTCCCCTTTCCATTCTACATAATAGTTGTGGTGCCCCCTAAGCTCCGCACCCAGTGTGAGCAAACCATTCATGCACCCCTAAATCCACCTCTGTGTTATTTTATGGAATTTGACATCTTTGGGGGGGCACTGTGCCCTTCCACCAACCATGCTAGGATAAAATATTAATAGCCGAATTTGCTTTCTTGAAATGTGGTACCAATGGAATGAAAACTACTTTTATGCCATTCAGACTGCCATGATAATTGTCCATAAGGTTCTGTCTTTGGTTATCAGATCCTAACTCCACTGAGAACATAGACTACACTGACTGTATTCCTGGCATTTTGGCAGACATGGGGATAAAGGAAAATGGTGGTTGAACTGACTGCTCCAGCAAGAATTCAAAATGAATTCTAAAGGGCTCCAAACTCAATCAGCAGCAGAAGCCGAGTCCACAGAAAATAACTATTTTTAAAGTCTTTTTGTTGGTTCATAAAAGGACAGATTACCATAATGTATTGTGTTTTCCATGGAGAAAAGTTTCTAGAAAGTCCAACGATCTAATGAATTGTTCTTAATCAATGACCAATTGTTGTAATTTCTCATTGTAGCCTGAAATCTTCACATAGAAAATAATGGAAGTTGTTTAAAAACAATGGCTTCTAATCTCAATTGTAATAACTCACAAATAATTGTCAAAATCCATAGTTTCTTCATGCCATGTTTATGCTAATTTAGCTCGGCGAGCTGATTATGTCTGTTACTATCTTCCTGATATTATATCAGAAAAAGGGGAAACTAAAAGGCACACAGAGTAGATAATATGTAATCAACTAAAAATGTGGAATAAGTAAAAAGAAAAGGCAATTTATTGGCAATTGAAACTGAGCATTCCTTCAACGATAGGTTGTTATATAAAATTTCATATTTGGACGTAACCATTTCTGTGATATTGATTGTGTGTGTGTGTTTGCAGAAAATATTCTAACAGATGATAGTGGTAATTTATGACTAAACTTACTTAACATTTGTCAAATTTTACTTGAATGCTGTGGCTCTTGAGTAGCAGCTTCATGCCAAGCATAATGGTAAAAGTGGTGTCAGAGGGCCTTGGACTTACTGGGAAACGAAATGTGCTTTTGTGAGCATGGTATCTTAGAATATCATGAGATTTTTAATATTTCCCTGTATTAGCAAAATATACAAATTCAGCCATCTTTGTGTAAACTGCATAAGGCCATGAAAATGTAATTTGCATTAGCTTCTCTATAGTTTATCTCTAGAAAAGAAAAACTTTAATGAGTTTTATATCACTGAAAAACAAACTCTTCTGTACCTGTTGAACGTATCTGAGAATTTAACAATAATTAAATTACTTTAGCAATGAAAAAAAGGTGGAATGAGTATATGTAAATAAAATGTGCATCCATTTTTTAATTTACATCAGTGGCTGCACCTCTACTATCTGGAGCCGCAGTGCTGCAGGAAGCAGGAGAAATGGTTGAGATGCAAGAATATATTTTAAGACAAGAGCACATTGGCATGGGATATTTTAACACCAACCCTAGTCTAGACACCATGAAGGTACAGTGGTACCTCGGGTTAAGAACTTGATTCGTTCTGGAGGTCTGTTCTTAACCTGAAACTGTTCTTAACCTGAGGTACCACTTTAGCTAATGGGGCCTCCCGCTGCCGCCGCGCGATTTCTGTTCTCATCCTGAAGCAAAGTTCTTAACCCGAGGTACTATTTCTGCGTTAGCAGAGTCTGTAACCTGAAGCGTCTGTAACCTGAAGCGTCTGTAACCTGAAGCGTCTGCAACCCAAGGTACCACTGTACTGCCAAAGCACCTTGCCTACAGTGCAGATTGAGTGGCTCACTTCCTTGCATCTGACAGAAAACTTCCCAAAGGCATTGTACAGACCAGATATATCAGTTATGCATTGACAACTATACAGTGTTCAACGGAACTCACACAGATTTGTCCTTGTGTAGATGCAGCTCTTGGGAAAGAAAATGACTATTGTCTTTGGGTACAATCCAAAGACAGACTCGTGTAAGTTCCGATGAGTCAGAACTGAAGCAAAAAAATCACATAAATCATTCTATGCTAGGTCCTATGAACTCCAGATGGAGTTAGTTGCCTCCATCTCATTGCAGCCTCCCGATCCTGACATCCAAAGACCCTTAGGAATGGTGTGATATGAGACATTGGGTGGTCACAGCTGGAGAAGGACCAGCAAAAATAAGGACAGCCTTGTCTGGTGAGCAGGAGCTCCTTCAGTTTACACAAGCCGTCCGTTGGATCAAATCCACTGCCTTCATTTGATGTATTTTAGTGGGACTTGGGTACACCTAGCATTCTGTGCATTGTGCCTCTTATTTGCAAACCATCACTCTCCACTTCCAGCCACTTAGGCACTAAAAGAGAAAAGAACTTATCAAGATGGAAAAGTTTGACAAAAGTCACCACTAAAACTAAGTACTTACTTAATCACTTCCTCTGTCTAAAAATCCAGGAATGTGGTGGGTTGGTGTCAACTGTGTTTTGCCCTTAAAAATGTTAACTATAGTTGTTTAGGAAGGCTTTGCCTCTTTCTAAGTGTTAAAAAGAGTAACACGCTTTCTAAACAACAGATACATGTTTTTATCTTGATCAGTGTGGAGCCAGAAGCAAAATGGGAGTAATAAATGCCAGGGGGCAGGTTGTGACCTGAGAACACATGAAAGAAACCTCCACCTTTTAAAAACTAAGTCAGTGCAGGAGAGGAGATGGGTGCCTCCTGCCAGGGAACACAGAGAACAGAAATGCCAAGAGCCAGTGTTGCTTCTCCCTTTATGATTGCAAAAAGGATTTCTTTGGGGTCTATTTGCCTCCACAACGAAAGACAACAGCAGACTCTCCTGGAACTCCGGCTGCTATGTACATAAAGCTGGAAGGCTTGTGCCTTAAGGTTTTAGCCTCAGAAGACCTGTACCAATTAACAGCTCAATAGGCACTTGGAGAGCCTGAAAGTGAATGAGCCTTGCATACCCTGGAACTTTTCAGGACAAGGCAGGGAAAGTTAGGGAGATCTGCTGAGGATCAAACACCACGCTCTGTACTAGACACAACAAAACCAGGGCTGTGCAGAGCCAGCCAGAGAAATAAGGCTTGTCAGAACAGCCGGAGCAGCAAGGGAACACACCGAAACCATGAGCGACAGTAAGCAAAGCAACAGGTTAATTTGCATTTTAAAATGGCCTAAAACTCAGCTACCACTTGCAATATGTTTGGGAAGCACCAAGTCAGCCTGGCTGTTTACCAACCGGATCCTATTTCTAACAGTCATCTGGAAGTAAAGTTAAAAGTAGCACCGATTTCAATAAAGTCATTTCGAAGTCATTAGGTCAAAGTAAACCTTCTGTCCTGAGTTCAAACGATGACCGCTGCATCAATGTAATAGCGGTGAGCAGGGATGGTCCTTTTTTAAAGCCTTCTCCTTTACTATGCGAAACTACTAGCGATGAGGAAAGCAGAAGGTAGCACCATCGCGTCGAGGAGGCGCGCGTCACCAAGGGAAGGCGGAGGCTCATTCAAGCTTACCTGGAATCCAAGCCTTGAGATCTCAGTCCCAGGTAGGAACTGGGTTGAGAAGGGGGGGGGGTGGCGCTTTGCACCTGGACAGCGGCCGTCGTGTTCTTTCCCCCCTGCAAAGGAGCTCTGACTCAAGCTGCGATGGGGCAGGAAGGGCGAGACCCGTTAGGGGTTAGGCTGTTCTCCGCTTACCTGAATGCCGGGAAGAGGTGAAGAACCTGGGTGCCTGCGCGCCTGCTCGCTCCCTGGAGGAGGAGGAGGACGACGACGAGATCACTCTGGCTTCTCGATCCACCGAGGCGGAGGAGTAAAGGGCGCCGCCGGTCGTGTAGCGCCGAGCGATGACCCGTTCCGCCCCCAAGGGGTGAAAAGGCGCCTGGTGCTGAGGGCGGCTGTGGCCGCTGCCCCTCTCGCGAAGGGCTCTGAGCAAGAGTTCCAGCAGCGCCTTCCTGTCCGCCGCCGCCGGGCTCTGGAGGTCCCGGGTCTTGTTCTTGGCGGCGGCGGCGCCCTCGGCTCTGGGCGCCCGTCCTGAGGTGATGAGCAGGAAGAAGAAGAGGGCAGGCAGCGCGTGGTAGCGGCGTCGGCGGCATGGCTTGGCCCCTTGCATCTCTCGGCCTCCTGAGGGGAAAGAGAGCGAGGCGGCGGAGGCAGCGCTCGGCAGTTAGCTCCTGCTGCTGCTGCCGCTGCCCCTTCCCGCCCTCAGCTCCCGCCTCATCGTGGGGCCGGCACTGGCCGCGCAGCCTGGGGCTCGAGCGGAGGGACAACACGCCGAGCCCCGCGAGCGCGAGGCCGCTCTGGGCGGCGGGTTGGTCGCCGCTGATTGCGGGCGCGCCAAAGGCACGTGTCGCGGTTGCCGCGCCGGGGAGAGAAAGTAGGGCGTCCGCGCGGCGGCGGCGGCGGCGGAGGCTGCTTCCCAGGGGCTGGAGCCCTCGCTCCTCTCGGCTTGGCCGCTGCGAGGGGTGTCAGGCCAGCTCCCCAGGCGCGCGCTCCGCTAATAGTCCCAGCGGGGGCCTCGCCAGTTGCCAGCCCGGACGCTCGCTTCGCGCTCGGGTCTGTGCCGGGGCGTGTGAAGGGAGGAGGAGAAGGAACACCAGGCGGAGCGGGAGGAGGAGGGAGGGGCTCTTGGGGCTGGTCCCGCCGCCGCCCCGACCCCGCCCACCATCGGGCCGCCGCCGCGGCTTCCCTTTTAGACCCCGGAGCCCTTTAGGGCACATTTATAGACACGGATTATGAGGAGGGCATTAAGCAGGCCACGCATTTCGCGATCCGCGGGGCTTTAGGCGGGATTTGCCTGGCTTTCTTTCCCAAGGGCTGCTGGGGCTTTAAAGCGCTCGACGGACGAGTTTTAACTCGGAGCAGGGGGGCGCCAAGTAGGGTGCGGGGGGCTCCCCCCGACTCCCCTCTCCCGAAGGAGAATTTGTGAATGAATTTGTAGGAGTGGCTGCTTATTTCTTACCCGGATCTTTAGGTCTGTGATCAAATATGGGACTCCACACACGCATTGCTCCGGTTATCTATCTCCGGGGCGCGCCGTTGCACCAACGTTGCGCGCACCTCGAAAGTGATTCTATGGGGCGGGGTAGTTATTTGTTTTTGTTTTTTTCAACACTGCACAACGCCTGGATTTTCTACCCCAGTTTATTGATTTCCCCCACCCTGGAATATGGCAATTTTAAAGGATTTGTAATTTGACATCTTTTCTAGAATGGGCACCCAGGGCATGGAGGATTCGTCCGAGGTGCGGTTCAAAATCGAACTCCAGGACTTGGAAGCAGCAACCTGATTTCGATTTTTAAGCATCTCTGTTCAAACCTATTAAGAAATTACACCCTTAACCCAAAATTCAGAAGCCAAAGTCTCTCTTTGTCTCACCCTCAAACACAGCTAAAATCTTTTGCATCGCGAAATACTATATTCTCATTTTTTATTTTTAACCCTTCTGGAAAATTCCTGCTTCGTTCCTTTTTCTTTTTTTTACAGCGCAATCCTATGCTTGTCTACTCGGAAATAAACCCTAGGGAATAAAATGGGGCTTGGTCGAAGTGTTCGCAAAATTGCAGGTTTATATCCCTCCGCCTCTATCATCGACGGCAACTACAGTATTTGGATTCGTAATCTGTCTTTATAGGGTGGGGTTTTTCTTCAAGCTCTGATTTGGGTGGTCTTACGCCTACACCCACCCATACCTCTACCGCTTTAAATCCAGCCCTGCCCATTCTGCTGAGTGGGGCCCTGGGCTGCCTTCCCGAGGACACCCATGTTTTAGACCCCCTCGGAAAAAGAGAGAAGCGATTGGAAACCCGACCACGAAGGGACTCGGGCTCCCAAGCTCGGTACTTTATCCCCCTAAGTAAGCTCTCCAAATATAGCGAACAATGAGGATTAAGGGAGGGAGAATATTAATTCAGTTATTCACAAACCCACTTCTTTGGGTTCTGTCTCTTCCAACTCCCTTTCGCCCAGTGTTGTCTTTGAAAAAAAAATCTAACGGAGGGAAAAACACAGAAACACCCACCCACCCACGCTACGTCTGCACAAATGCAAACTTCTTCCATTCACCTTCCTCCTTGGCAGGTGCATCGCCTGGGAAGCGATTTCACTGCTCCTTCATACCCCCCCCCCCAGGGCACCCTGATTCATTTCAAGCAGAAATATACTAGTAGACAGAAACCCTCAGTAATACCCAAGGGGCCCCCGTCCATTCACAACAACGTTGAGAGACCTGCCTAAAGCCTGTCATGAGTCTTTTCAGGGGCGAGGAAAGGACTTTACCGTGCCAAAGTTGCCTCTTCGGTCCTGCGGCTTCTCCGCTTGGAGGCTGGTCTGCGATCCGTAAAAACTGCGTCCTGGGCGTCGCGTCGCAGCCGTCGGAATTGGCTGCCATACACCTGGCTTATATAGTTCCGCCTCAGCCAGTCCGCTGGAGTGCTATCGACTTTAGGTGGGTGGAAGGCAACGAAGCCTTCTCTTAATCATTCTTCTTCGGCTCAACGAGGGTCTCCCTCCTCCTTTTCCTGACAAACTTCCTCCTCCCCACTTTTTTCCTTCCCCTGAGGACGCAGGTTCAAACTCATGGAGATGACTCCCCTCCGCTACTTGTGAAATGAGATTGTCGCCCAGATTAGAGGATGCTCAGAGCTCATATATCCGAGCGCTTTGCTTTCTTAGGTTGGTGGGATTCCCTAGCATTGACGTATGGGGGGGGGGAATGACCGGAGTGGGTGGGTGAGACACGCAGCAGGAAAAGTATTTTTTCTCTCCTAGAAACTGAATTGAGGATGAAAGACCTTCATTTCAAAGGACAGGTTGTGTATAAATTGCTCAAAACTAACGGTGAGTTGATCTTGGAAGAAAGGGGGGGCAGTAAAGTTAGCATCAAAAGGGAGAGCAAAAAAAATCGAGCCCATTCAAAGTTTTATCTATGGCTGCAGAATGCAGACACACCATTTATTCAAAGTACACTCCCCACCACCATCCTGCACCCCCCCAAAAAAAAGAATAGTGGGAGATGTAGTTTATCCTTCACAGGACTACAACTTCCAGCACCCAAAACTACAGTTCCCATGATTCTTTGTAGGACAGGGATTTATTTGGAATGCACTTTAAATGTATAGTGTGAAGTGACAATAAAATATCTTATGACACCCACAACTATAATTCATTAAATCAACCATGCTGGTGTAGGGGAAACAGAACGGCCTCAGTCCAAGGAGAGCATTTTAAACCCACCAAATTCAATGGGCTTTGAATATAATTTTAAAATGTCTGCAAAATAAAAACAAGAAAATGTTTTTTTATGCACAGAATCAATTGTTTTGACACAGCCCTGCTTTGAAAATAAGAGAAAGAGCCACTTTCCCACCATAGTGTTTACTGCTGCAAGAGAGCACTGGGACAGAGGTTTTAATGAGATCCAAAAACGAATGGGGTTGTGGTCCAAAAAGATCCAAGCCTATGTGTGCCTACTCAGAAATAAGTCTCATTAAATGCAATGGGACCTATTCTTAGGGAGTGAGCTTTAAGATGTGCTCCTTTGTCCTCCCCTTCCTCTACTTTCCCCATCCCTCTTCCTCCGCATTTTGGCTCTTGCAGGTTCTGCCACATTTTCCCAGCAGCTTATTGGATGTGTGGGAGAACGAAACATTGATCTGTACTGTATCCCTCTGAAAGATAACATCTATCCAAGCAAACTCATTCGCTACTAGGGGTATCAACAATGTCACGATACTTTCTGACATTTTGTTAGAAGTGTTAGAAAGCTGACATTTAGTAGATACATAGTCCCAATGCACCTCCATCTCACTTTGCTCCAACAGGAATTTAATGTGAATGATCCTGCATTTTAGAGGAAGGCCTCATCTAGACTGGAGTCTGATGTGATGTTGAAGCTGCTTAGGTCACTATTCTCTTTTGTGGTTTACACATGGTGTCCTCTTCCTCAGTGGCACCTCCCACTTACCTCCCACCCCCCTCACAGATAATCCAATAAGGGGAGAAAGTCTGATATAAAATTGCAGATTACATGACAGTGGATGTACTGAAGCACATTGTGTGATCCCCCCCCCCCAAAGTGTACTTCCGCTTTACTGGCTGCACCACCTGCTAGATACAGCGTTTCCGTGCACTGCATCCTTTCCCACCAGTTGTTGTATCTTTATAATTAAAACCACTTTTTGTGCAGAATGGCTGTTCCACAAAGTAAATGTATTAAAAGCAAAAAATAAAATTTGCCCATGCAAGTGCAGGAGGCAGGAAAAGGAAAGCAGAAAGGAAACGAAGAAGCAGCCTCTCATGCCAATAATTTCAAATGATTCCCTGGCTTTTTAACATTATTGCTCATTGGTGCAAATTTGCTATATTGAAAAACTTGTAGAGGAATGGTTGTTACAATTATTGGACTTAGCTGAGATGGCAAAGGTGACGTGCTTAATCAGTGATAAATCATTGTTAATATTTAGTAAAGATTGGAAACTCCTTGTAGACTTTTTGCAAGAAAAAGCAAATGAACCTATGATATCTGGGTTTGAGGATTGAATAAAATATTGGTTTATAGTAAGTGGAATGGTTGGGTGTTATCTTGGAGTGGATCTTTTGAATAATTTTCTATATGTAGCTGACAGATGAAGAATCAGAAGTTCTCATTTTCTTCATTTCTTCCTTTCCTTTTTCTCCTCTCCCTTTTTCTCGCCTTTTCGTTTCCTTTCCTCCTTTTGGTTTGTGCTTTTATTTAGATCAGTTTCTTTTATCTTTGATAAAAAGATATTGCATAGTAACCTTTATATATTTTCTTTCAAACTTTAATAAAAATAATTGGGGGAAAACCTTGCATTTCACATATGAAAGGTACATACACACAAGTAAACAAATACCTACATGCACACCCACAATTGACTTATAGGTGTCCTTGCTTGGGGTAGCACCCACACTTTTTTTTTGATATTTTTTTTACTGCTCTTTTGTGCAAATCTGGTACAAAGAAAAATGTATCAGCTTGTACTACCAGCAGCTCCCAAAAGATTGCTTACAAGGGAACACAGCTGAGAAAGGTTCCCAACCCCTGCCTTAAAAACCTGAAGGACAAAAAGACAAGCCATGGGGTGAGGCTGAGTGAGGCCACCTTTTAGGATCAGTCTCACTCAGTTTCACAACATAGAGGGAGAGCTGTAGCTCTGTGGTAGAGCATCTGCCTTGCATGCACTACGTATGCAGTTCAGTCCCCAGCACCTCCAGGCAGGAGTGGGAGAGAGGGCTATCTGAAGTCCTGGGAGCTGTTTCCACTCATTGTAGACAATACTGAGCCAGCCACTATACTGAACCACCACTTGTCTTATGCGGTATAAGGCAGCATCCTGTGTTCCTAAGACAACCATCCCTGTTGCAGACCAATTTACATCAACCAGTGAAAGCTTCAGAAAGAAAGAAAAGTGTGTGTGTGTATCCTGTGTATTAGAATCATAGAATTGGAAGGGAACATGAGGGTCCAAACAAGGAATCTTGTGGGGCTCAATGTGGGACCCTAAGATTAAGAGCCTCATGCTTTTAGCAACTGAGCTATCCCACTGTCCTAAAGTATATTATGTATTTCTGCTGGCTACACCGTTGCGTATAATTATAAGAAGAAAGAAAGAAAGAAAGAAAGATTCAATTAAAAGTATCAAGAAACAAAGCTAGCCCACTTTCCCATTGAATTGAATTCTATAAATTCCATAAAAGTGAGTGCATAAATGTGATCTTTGAAATGCCATCAGTCATGCAGTGTTATGCCCATACCAAAGAAAATTGTGACACAGGCAAGAATGTTTCTGACCACATGTACAGGATGTCGCTGAAGGGTTGGCTAACTCAACCTACTAGCTCCAATGAAACAACAGGAACACAGACTGTCTTGACTAAGCATATCGAGCAACTGAAAACCCATCTATCCGTCTTGGAAATGGAAGACTCAGTTTCAAATCCTGAGTCATCACGGTGATTTGCTGGATAACTATTGGCAAATGACCACCTCCAAACTCAATTTCTTGTGTATAAAAAAGGAACCATGGTGCCTGCCTCAGTTGGCTACAGTGAAGATAAAATATAAAGCTGTTTCTGTGTTAATAGAAAATGTGATTTTGAAAATGAGAAATTAAATTGAGAAGACTGGTAATGTGGGATGATCTTCCAATGGCAAAGTTCTGAAATCTAATTAATTTTCACAATGGAAGTGTGATAATCTAGATAGAGCTCATCTTTAATGTTACCAGGATCACATAAAAGGTGTTTTACTTGCAAATTCGTGTGTGTGTGTGTGTGTGTGTGTGTGTGAGAGAGAGAGAGAGAGAGAGAGAGAGAGAGATCAAGATCTAGAAGCTGTAGCTCACACTACAATAAGTGGAATATCATAGGACTGTTGATCAAATCTGGATTATTGCTTTTAAATGCATAATTTGGTATCTCACCTTATCATATTGATTTAAAAGGTGGGGTATATATTTTAAAATCATTGAAGTATGGGACTTCTTCAGCAAGTGACAAAAACTGCAAACAATAAACTAAGATGCAGAAAGAAAGAAAGAGGGTGGTGGAGGCCAAACCTAATAGAACCATCAAAAGTCATAGATGTAGTTGAACAGATAAAGCCTAATAAAGCTGCCAGAAAGGATTTAATAATTACAGGAATACTAAAGGCACTGAGCGATGCCTGGAAGGTATGGAAAGTGAAGGTATGAACTCATTCCTAATCAAAAGCAGATGCAACCTGGGTTGGGGAAATATGTCCCCACTGAAAAAATATCAAAGATAAATGCCCCAGACAATAATTTAGAGCTGAGTTTCATGACCCACTTTTCAGTGTGCAAAACTATTTGCTGTGGCATATGGCCTGTGCAATCTAGAGGGATAAAAAAGCTAATTTGAAACTTGTCAAAGCACTGTGCAGCTTAATCCAATACATGTTTCTTCAAAAGTCTCCACACAGCCCAATAGGAGCTTCTTCCATTGGTTTCGCAGTCTTTGAAGATTGCAAATTGAAGGCATATGCATTTTATTATTAGCAATGTTAAAAAGGCATTGCAACATTCTGCAGATTCAACATTTGCATACTGTAGACATCACTTCCTCCTCAGTGCTGCTGTGTCATGATCTGTTAAGATTTTCCAAAAACGTCTTCTTACACAGTCCATCCATGTCCTGTATCTGGACCGACTTCACACAGGCTAAAGAATAATGCAAGGGGCTGTTGAGGATAATCTCTGTAGCCTCCAATATTGTAGTTATTATTATTCACCCAAAGATTCCAGGGCAAGTTACAACAATTAAAACATTAATATTAGAACACAATATTGCACAATATTAAAAACAGTTTGAAACAACCTAAAATTACAAAGGTAAGGTGGCTACTAAAAATACACATCTCAAGTGTCAAAAGCCAGGGTGAAAGATCCACACTGAAAGCCTTTTGTATCTGTGGAGGTCACCCAAATATTTAAGAACCCTGGAACAGAAGAGGGTCTAAAACAAGAAGGGAACCTCGTAGATACACAAAACAAGGCCAGCCCACCATTAGGCAAAATATGAGGCAGCAGACAATTGCCTTCCACAAATTCAATGGCAATGGGGTGGAGGGGAGAGCTTTCACTTGC